TATTCCACCTTCAGAGTTGTAGAGGCCGTACACTATTATATCCTCCAGCATTACTACTGTTAGTCTGTCTTTCCACCTCCAGTCTCTTGTGCCAATCCATCCCAAACATAATAGTTACTGATTGGCCGGGCATGGTGGCTCATGCCTGTAATCCCAGCACTTTGGGAGGCTAAGGTGGGCAGATCAGCTGAAGTCAGGAGTTCGAGACCAGTCTGGCCAAAGAGACCAGCCTGGCCAACATGGTGAAACCTTGTCTCTACTAAAAATACAAGTATTAGCCAGGCGTGGTGGTGGATGCCTGTAATCCCAGCTACTCAGGAGGCTGAGGCAGGAAAATTCCTTGAACCCAGGAGGCGGAGGCTGCGGTGAGCTGAGATCGTGCCATCGCACTCCAGGCTGAGTGACACAGTAAGACTCCGACTTAAAAAAAAAAAAAAAAAGTTACAGATTTACCTCCCCCAAAATAGCTTATGACACTTCTCCGTTCAAAACATTAAAACTTATAGACTGAAACCCAAATCAACAGTTTGGGAATTCAAGGCTTCCTATTATTTACTGATAGATCTCATTTCTGTTTATTCCCAACAAGTTTAACTTACTGAACTCTTTGTTTTAGTCATTGATTTTAAGAAGTACAAGTGATACAACATAGCAGCTCCCCCCACCTTTTTTTTTTTTAAAAAAAAAAGAGGGAGTCTTGCTCTGTTACCAGGCTGGAATGCTGTGGCAAGATCTCAGCTCACTGCAACATCCAACTTCTTGGTTCAAGCCTCAGCCTCTCGAGTAGCTGGGATTACAGGCACGTGCCACCATGCCCAGCTAATTTTTGTATTTTTAGTAGAGATGGGGTTTCATCATGTTGGCCAGGCTGGTCTCAATCTTCTGACCTCGCGATCCGCCCACCTTGGCCTCCCAAAGTGCTGGGATTACAGGCATGAGCCACCGCGCCTGGCCAACCTTTTTAAGGGCAAAAGAGTTACTGCAGTAAATGTGCATCTCAATTTTAAGATATATTCCAGCCATAATTCAACTAAGCTGACAGCCCTTTAAAAACATAGTAATTGGGCTGGGTGCAGTGGCTCATACCTGTAATCCCAGCACTTTGGGAGGCCGAGGCGGGCGAAATCCCCTGAGGTCAGGAGTTTGAGACTAGCCTGGCCAACGTGGTGAAACCCTGTCGCTACTAAAAATACAACAATTAGCCAAGTGTGGTGGTGCATGCCTGTCTGTAATCTCAGCTACTCAGGAGGCTGAGGCAGGAGAATTGCTTGAACCTGGGAGGTGGAGGTTGCAGTGAGCCAAGATCGCACCACTGCACTCTAGCCTGAGCAACAGGGAGACTCCACCAAAACACACACACACAAAACACAGTAACTGGGCCGGGTGCAGTGGCTCATGCCTATAATCCCAGCACTTTGGGAGGCCGAGGCAGGTGGATCACTTGAGGTCAGGAGTTCGAGACCAGCCTGGCCAACATGGTGAAACCTCGTCTCTACTAAAAATGCAAAGTATAGCTGGGCATGGTGGTGTATGCCTGTAACCCCAGCTACTAGGGAGAATGAGGCAGGAGAATCACTTGAACCCGGGAGAAGGAGGTTGCAGTGAGCCGAGATCGCGCCATTGCACTCCGGCCTAAGCAACAGAGCAAGACTCCACCTCAAAGAAAAAACAAAAAAAACTGAATGAGTTCCCTCAAGTGTGTTTTATATTTGGTTCTGGAATGCAGTAGAGATCATTTAAGATGTAGGTAAGGAAAAAATATTAATCACTTGTTTTGTGTGTTCTGTACTCACAATAAATGTGAACTGTCATGTAACAGTATTAGAACATAATTTACATGTTAACTTCTTTGCTCTGTCATTAGAAAGTAAGCTCCATGAAGGTAAGGGCTTTGTTTTGCTTACTAACGCAATCTGGCTGCCCTGAATAATACGGTGGGCACTCAAAAATGCTCTTGAATAAATCTGCCTGGAAAACCGAGCAATTCAAAGTGACAGAAGGCAAGATGGTTGCTCATCAGCAAATACCACTGAGGTCATGTCGTGAGCAAGGAGCCATGTGAGACACAGAAAGCAACCTAGTCAGAAGGAATGGTGTGTGTCTCCAACTCTGGCAGAACTCCAGCTTTCTGCTAGATCTAGTACATGGTCTATTTCCCAAAGTAAACTAATTTCTCTGTCTTATTTTTCATACAGCTTAATTTTGTGTCAGGATGATTCTGTTTTAGAAACTGGCATTGGAACAAAAGGATATTTAGTTTTATGCCTATCCCTTGCCTAAGCTACCTTTTATAAGTACATTCAAAGCTACATTTGTTCTTAGGCATCGATCAAAAGAAGGTTTGCTACTTCACATATTAAAAAACGAAATCCAGGAGGGCACCACATACTTCAGAAAATTTTTATATGACTCCTAGATGTCATGCCACAGTGGCTCGTAAACTGCCAAAACAGAGGAAGGGTGCTTTATTTTCATGTGGTGTTTTGTTTTTTGTTGTTTTTTTTTTTTTAATGTAAAAGCATTCTGTGTTAAATTCATCAAGGAATTGACAAAAAGCTACTTTCCTACACTTGACAGTAATATGTTTTCTGACATTCCTGTTATCAATTCCTCTGAAAATCATTTAGACATATACGACTATTAGTTTAAAAAAAAACAAAAACTGAGACTGAAATGCCAACATGAAAACCCTGCCAAATCCTTTACTCTTTTCTATTTCTGCCATTTTGATATTTCAAGTAGAGTCCAAGGAATAGACAGGAAGAAATGGTATCGCCTGACAGTCAATTCTAACAATTCTTTCCTTTAAGGAGAACATGGCAAACTTACACAGTACAACTGCATACGAGAACCAAACAAGGAAAGTACTGAAAATTCACCACGCAAATACTAATTGTTCAGCAATTCTCTCATCTCCCTTGTCATTAGCAAATACGTTGCTAGTGGCTCCCTTAAGAAAAATTCCCATTCTCTGTTCTCTTTTACAGCAACGTTCTTTGAAAGTGTTATCTACAATCGTTCCCTCAATTCCTTCTGTGGCTTTCTCTCCTGAATCCACTCCAACCAAGCTTTCATTCACCCTTCTCCCTCTACCAAAACTGCTCACCAATGTCTGCAACAACCCCGCCCCACTAAATTCAATGGTCTCAATTCTCAGTCTTCATCTTACTGGTCCCGTCTGTAGCAACTGTCACACACAATCCAATCCCTCCTCCTCCTCCTCCGAAACGCTTTCTCCACTTGCCTTTCACATACCACATTCTCTTCATGCCACACTCTCTTGGTTTTTCTTCTACTTTATTGGTCACTCCCTTCCCAATCCTTTCTTCATCTTTCATAGGAATGAGGAGGAATACCTAAGCTCTGGAATACCTCAAAGGACTAATCTGTATACTTCTTCTCTATCTGAGCTCTCCAGCACTCTCTATCCCCCTCTACTGCATTTCTCTCTCCAGGATTTTTTTTTTTTCAGATGGAGTCTCACTTTATCATCCAGGCTAGAGTGCAGTGGCGCGACCATAGCTCACTGCAGTGTCAACCTGGTGGGCTCAAATGATCCTCCCGCCTCAGCCTCCTGAGCAGGTGGACTACAGGCACTCGCTACCACAGCTGGCTTTCTGTTTTTTTAGACATGGGGTCTCATTATGTTGCCCAGACTGGTCTCAAACTCCTGAACTCAAGTGATCCTCCTTCCTCGGCCTTCCAAAGTGCCAGGATTACAGGTAGGAGCCACTGTGCCTAGCCTCTCTCCAAGATTTAATGCTATAGGACACACTGCAGAGTTAAGGTATTTTCTTTCTCTTAACAACGAGAACATTTCACAGGGTAAGCAGTTTTGCCTGTTTTGTTTAGTGTTGTATACCCAGTGACTAGACAGATTTAGCTCGTTGCAGGAAGCCAATAAATATTTGTTGAAAGAATGAATGAACAACAAAAATGGTAACAGTAACAGCCACTTTGTACTAGGAACTTACCAACCAGACATTCCAATAAGCATGTTACATACATTTCACTTAATCCTCAAACAACCCTATGAGATCTCTGAGGCTTTAGAGAGGAGTGGAAATCGGGGTGGTTAACATGCACCAAATTACCAAACTACTAAGTGGTAGTACCATGATTCAAACCCAAGTTTATCATCTTCAAAGATAATGCTCTTAATTCCTGCACAGTACCATTTTACTGAGTATTATTATTTCATTAGTTGTGGAATAAAGTCAACTGCTATTTGAAGAGTCAGCAATCTAAAATTCCCTGCAGTTGTGAATTAACCTCCATTTCCTTTGTGAAGACAAACTTTTTTTTAGTAACATCAATTTAAAAACTTTAGTGAAGATTCTTTTTTTTTTCTGAAGCAGGGTCTCACTCTGTCACCCAAGCTTAAGTACAGTGGCACAAATACAGTTCAAAGCAGCCTCAACCTTATGGGTTCAAGCAATCCTTCTGCCTCAGCCTCATGAGTAGCTGGGACTACAGATGTGCACCACCATGCTTAATTTTTAAATATTTTGTAGAGATGAAGGTCTCACTATATTGCCCAGGCTGGTATTCAATTCCTAGGCTCAAGTGATCCTCCCAAAGTGCTGGGATCACAGGCATGAGCTGCTGCACATGGCCAAGATTCTTTTTTAGGGCAAAGGATTCTATACTGCCATTTTCAGTGGTAACAATGAAGGTGAGAGGGCACACTATTCTCCTTCAGAGTGTTAATGGCAGTTCTTAAACTTTCAATTTCTCTCACTTCTATTAAAAAGCTCAAGACAGTGGTTTTCAAAACTAGCTGCAGAGTCACCTAGGAGCTTTGTGTTTTCTGAAAACAAGATTCCAACACCCAACTCCAGAGCAAACAGGGCCCAGAAACCCAGCATTTTATAAAGCTCCCCAGAAGACCTTGGTGGTTAGTCAAGTTTAGAAAACACCAAAGTTGGCAAGAGACTAACTCTCTATCTGAGCATCTGGCTCACTGCTTGACAATGACCAACTCTCTCATCTGTACCGACCTTCTTGGAAAGAGGAACAATGCTGTTGGGTCGAACAAGCCTCCGTTTCTTACAGCTCAGTACAGGACGTGTCCGGGCTGCCACACAGGTGCCATCAGATGATGAAGAGACTAGATTCAGTCGTTGCTTTTTATGTAATTGTTCCTCAGCATCAGAGCTGTCACCTGGAATATGGTCTGCCAAGACAGGCTGAAGACTATACAAGGGGAAGGAAGAGTATTCTCAGAACACACAAATAAATAAAATAAATAAACAACAACAACAACAAGAAAACACAAACAAAGCCTCTTATACTGGTTCAACCTCTATTTGCTACTGTTCAGACACAAAGAAGCATTCTAGAGCAGAAGCAGGTCTCCTCCTGATGTCTGCTAATCTACCTGTGTGCGCTTATGTGTAAGGCTCTTGGTGCACATTAACTACATCATGTATCAAAGGCAAAAAAAGTCAGTAAATAAACTCAAGTTCTAGTGATTGAGTTCTCCTCTACAACAAACACATGAGTAAATAAAGTCTAGAGAACTACAACTGGTTAGAAAATGATGAATTTTGCAAATGTTAATGGGCTTCCTTAGGATCAGTTCTATGAATCTTGAATTTTAGGGGTGTTGTACACATCATTCACTTGTATAGGATCTCCCTGAATATTTTTTTCTCCCTTGAATCTTAATAAATATAGATTTACAAATATAGCCTTTGGAGATCTAATCTGTCCTAGAGCAGAGGAGGTTAATATAAACACTTCCGAGGAATTCCTGTAAGATTAAAACAATAATAATTCACAATAACTGTAGTGTCTTTTATTTTACTCCATGCCCACTCCATTTTAGTAGATAAAAGGAAAATACACAATTAATTAAAACACATTGCTTCATTATACAGTGAAGATTAAAAATGTTACTAAGTGATAAGGCTTCCGCTTCTTTAAACCAGGGTCAGTCCTGGCTAGCTAAAGAAAACTAAGAGCTCCAAAACACCTTTACAAGTCTAAGAGTAGGAAGTAGAAGAGCTAAAACTTACGTGTTAATAACTCCATTGACAGGTCTGAGTGCTCCACATGACTTGGTAGACAGTGACTCTGAAACATGACCAATAATAGGGGGACCATGGTTTTCCAATGGCTGAGAAAAAGACTCAATCTGAATAAGAAAAAGGAAAAAAAAAAATTAACATGAACCCAACAGCACCACTGCTTGAAAAGCACCACCACTTCATTTGCACAAAGCACCTAAAACTTCTGATGACCAATTTGAAAACCAAAACTTGAATGACTGAGGAAAAAGAAAATAAGAGAATCAGTGGCCAGGTATGGTGGCTCACAACTATAACTGCAGCACTTTGGGAGGCCAAGGCAGAAGGATCGCTTGAGACCAGGAGTTTCGAGACCAGCCTGGGCAACACAGTGAGAGACAGAGAGAGATGAGAGAGAGACAGAGACAGAGACAGAGAAAGACGAGAGAGAGAGAGAGAGAGAGAGAGAGAGAGAGAGAGAGAGAGAGCAGGAGAATATGACATTAGCTTTGCTTTGGGGGAAAAAGGGATGAAGAATCCAAATGTACAGACTAGAAGTAAGTACCTATTGACAGGAAAATGACCTCAACAATTCTATGGAACGGAAGCTTAGCAAAACAATTACATAGTAACATAAGCCTTCAACTAATGATCAAGAAGGATATACTAACATCAGTATCAAGATGACTAAGAGGAAATTTAAATGTAGTCAGTATCTGCTTAACTCTAACAAAGTATACTAGAAGCTTGTTTTCTAAAAACCATGCTTTCTTTAAAAATACACACACAGACCGGGGATGGTGGTTCATGACTGTAATCCTGGCATTTTGAGAGGCCAAGGTAGAAGGATCTCTTGAGTCCAGGAGTTTAAGACCAGTCTGGGCAACATGACAAAACCCCAACTCTACAAAAAAATAAAAAATTAGCCGGGCATGGTGGTGCGTGCATATAATCCCAGCTACTCAGGAGGCTGAGGTGGGAAGAGGATCACCTGAGCCAGGAGACAGAGGCTGCTGTGAGCCATGATCATGCCACTGTACTCCAGCCTGGGTGACAGAGTGAGACCCTGTCTCAATGAATGAATGAATAAACAAACAAATAAACACACACACACATATTTTTCCCTGACAGAAAACAAAGTTAATAAAATCTCAATGAATTTAATTATCTGATGGTATCAGATACTATTGTCTTCAGAGTATTCAAATATATGTTTAGAATATAAAATGGAACAACAGATGAGAAAGAATATAAAAAGTTTGATTTGCAGTATTCAAAACAAATTATATATTTACTAGGCTCCAGAGGGATAGGAATAGTTTGAATGCCAGTCATATGGCACCTCTGAGGTATATGCAATAAAGCAACAGATGCAGCTATCCCTCAGTTCTAGCAATTGTTGAAATATCCCAGAAAGGCTGTGGGTCTTTGACTCCTTACTTTATTTTTTTGAGATGAAGTCTTGCTCTCCCACCCAAGCTGCAGTGCAGTGGCATGATATCAGCTCACTGTAGCCTCCGCCTCCCTGGTTCAAGCGATTCTCCTGCTTTGGCCTCCCTGAGTAGCTGGGATTACAGGCACACGCTACCATGCCCATGTAATTTTTGTATTTTTAGTAGACACGGGGTTTTGCCATGTTGGCCAGGCTGGTCTTGAACTTCTCACCTCAAGTGATCCGCCCTCCTTGGCCTCCCAAAATGCTGGGATTACAGGTGTCCACCACACCTAACCTGTCTCCTTACACTTGAACTGACTCTGGGGCATGCTGAAGTTCTCTTTCCTATAAAAGCTTTCAAGGTAAATATTCCTATAATTGCTTCCTATAAAAGCTTCCAAGGTAAATATTCCTAAAAATGCTTCCTATAAATGCTTTCAAGGTAAATATTTTGAGGCTGAAATTCTATTTTTCAATACTGCTGATTTTTTTTTTTTTTTTTTGTCTTTATACCCCCAAGGAGAAAACACCATAGGACTGAACCTGAAAGTAGTCCTAGACAAGCATCAAAAAAGAACAGATTGAGGCTGGGTGTGGTGGCTCATGCCTGTAATCCCAGCACTTTGGGAGGCTGAAGCAGACAGATCACCTGAGGTCAAGAGTTTGAGACCAACCTGGCCGACATCGTAAAATCCTGTCTCTACTCAAAATACAAAATTAGCTGGGCATGGTGGCACATGTCTATAATCCTGGTTCCTCCGGGAGGCTGAGGCATGAGAATCACTTGAACCCAGGAGGTGGAGGTTGCAGTGAGTCAAAATCACGCCACTGCACTGCAGCCTGGGAGACAGAGAGAGACTCTGTCTCCAAAACAAAACAAAACACACACAAAAAAGCAGATTGGGGAGGTAAAGTTTTAATACAAATTATCCTAAAATACAGATGAAACTATATACACAGATTAAGTCACAGAACTATGCTACAATGAGTGAACACTGAGAAAAGGCTGTCTTTTTTGTTGGATATCCTGTACATCTACTAAGATATCACAAACATCTTGAACAACTGTCAATACTATCAAAATTATAGTAAATCTGGCATAGACACATTGCCTTAAGCTCTACACAGATTTCCCTTGGAAAGCAACACGGTATTAAGTAGCAAGACCTATAAGGATATTCTTATCTTCTGACAAAATATTCTAACCAATTTTTAAAAATCTACCCTAAAGGAGTAACTCAACAAACACATCCCCAAAAATCTTATTCACAAAGGTGGTCACTGCAATGATATTTATCAATAATCTAAATACACTCAATAGTTATAAGCATTTTAACTATAGTTATCAGTTGTGGTACACCAAATCAAAATATTAAAAAGAACCATAAAGGATATTTCTTCTCTTATGCAAGAAGAGATTTCAAGAGACAAAAATAATAGTTTAATACAGTTGTAGTGACTAAAAACATACATACATAGATAACAAGACAAAGAGTGTTACACTTGTAAAACTATTCTGAAATTTTCTTTACATTTTAGGTAATATTTTTATATTAAAAAGAAACCCCCATAAAACCAAATACCCCCCTGAATGCTAGTAAGGATTTTACTACACAGGGGAAACCTCAAAAAGACTAAACAAATATGGTATGACAAAGAACAAGAAAAATCAAAAGAATTTAAAATTCAGGTTGGCATTAACTAACAGATGTATCACTTCAGACATGTTATAGGTTTTCTAGATTTCAGAAGTTCTGGTTTAGATGAAAAAGTTTCCTTTCAATAGAAAAATGTTGTTTAAAAAAAAAAAAACTCAAGAGTTTTTTGCTGAAATACCAATCCTTACTTCTGTTAATTTTATATTCACTTAAAATATAGCTTTCAGCATTAAATTATGGCAGTGATTTGATTTATATACCCACGTGTTCTAGAAGGCACTACGTTTAAGAAATGGGTTGACTGACTCTCCATTTGATTAAGTTTTCTCCTAGGGATTATGAGATTTAACTGCAAGGACACTTGTCAAGATAAAATGTTTCCGCTCTCTAACAAAATCTCAATTCAAAACATTTATCTTTCTTATAGAAAGTCTGAAGAAGAATATGTAAACTAAAATCACCAGTAATGTCACCATCCATATAGCTAACTACTACTGCTATAACAGCCTGTCTTGTTTCTCATGCCTGCAGGTGTATATATTTAAATACTATTCAGCTTTAATATGAATGTTATTGATTTTCTTATAAAAACCTGAATCTTCCTGGAATAATTCAGCTCCCAAATCAAAATTGAAGTCAACAGGCAGCACATTATTAACATGAAAATGTTGTCAAGAACATGAAGTATACAGAGATCGACAGCATAAACATCAGAAAGGGACTGTGGCTGGCCTGCATTCCCAGCCACACAAAAGGAAGCACTGGATATTCAGGAAGGATCTACTTAAGATCTTGGGAAATTCTGTAATCAAGCTAATATCCAAAAGCAGGCATTTGGACACGTCCTGCAACCCATCATCAATGCAAAGAGATTAAAATATTAATCCCAATCATAGTGTTCCATTTGGAAAAAGAAAAACATAAACACATAAACAAACACAATTTCACCTAGCTCCTTAAATGCTGGCGCTCTCCCTTGAGACAAAATGAACACTTCCTATCCTGCAGTCTAAAAGGCTGCAAACACAGAGGGTAGAGAAACATTAACAAACACTTCAGAAATATTAAATCCGCATAATAATTTCAGCTTCATTATTACTACTGCAGTGGTTTACATCATTAGTGTTTTTAGAAAACTAAAGCATGACTCAGATATCTGCTATCCAATAGGCAACTGCAAAAAGGATGAAAGAACTTAAGACTCTACTACCTAGAAAATAGGGATTATCATTGAAACTTCCATTTGAATTTTATTTGATGTTCAGATGAACTCAGGGTTTACGCATCCCACAGCCAGAAAGAAAAGAGTAGAAAAGCTAAAGTGGTAGACAGAGTGCCTCTGTAATCCCCTCCTCTCCAAAGCAGGGCCCTAGGGGATTATCTTTTGGCGTAATCTTACAGTTACAGGTAGCAAGGAGGGTTGCTGAATTGTTTTACCCCTGATTGAAACGGCCAGGTGTACAGCATAAAATTACTAACACAGCAATGAGATTCAAATTTGTTATTCACACAAAGCAGGCATCTGATTCATTACTCCACTTTCTGGGCCAGATCAAGTACGTGTGACAAAGAGGCCTTGAATGAAAAGCTAAGACTAAATAGTTTTTATGGGGGTGGTTTTTTCTAGGGTTTAAGAACCAGTGTCTACTAGATTTGTTTTACCAAAAAGTAGAGAGAGGGTTAAAGGGTAAAAACAGAGAGTCACACACTTAAAAACACACAATGAAATTAAACTCTACCTGCAAGTATGTATGTATTTTTACTTTATTCAATTAATGCCATGTCACACCTGCTTGCAATGTCATTTTTTTACATGCATCACATTCATTTGGCTAGAAAAGTCAACAGTTCAGTTTTGGTTAGTTATTCCCTTCCCAACAAACATTAAAATGGGAAGAAAATGCTAACTGGGTGACAGGAATTTAACTTTTATTCCTGGTTTAAAATAGTTTTTGACTTTGTATGACTGATTTCATGTCTCAAGCCCACCCAGCCCCCATTTCAATGATACTGAGCATAGTTTTGCTTAAATTCA